TAAGCGTTGCTTAATGAATAATTTACAGTGTCCAGCAGTTTACCTGGTAATAGTTTAAATAATATTTTTATCATAGGAGCTGTAATTTCATCTGGACCTGGAGCTGATGAGGCTAAATTCCAAACAACCTCAGCTAATTCTTCAAGTGTAACTGTAGTAAAATCTGTTATCACCATCGCAGTTCTCAAATTATACACTTACTTGATGTGAATTGACACTCTAAGCCTTCTGCTATGATTTTTAAAGATTTCTTCATCTCATCGGCCGACGTGATTTCGCAGCCTGTATTAGCTGGGGATGGCGGAATTTTACGTGGTCTGAGGAACCTAAACAAGATACTTTAGTTTTTAGGGTTTCAAAGGTAGTCATTGTGTTTTCTATTACAATGTTTTTTAGCTAAAGGAACAGTGCACCCGAAATTTGCGTAGTAAAACTTGTAATGAATCCAGTTTTCAGGACACTGATTATGCAAAAGTTTTTTCCAAGGGGCCATTAATTGTCTGAAAACCCGTGCAGAAACTAGATTCCGCAATGGACTGCGATTTGTGTTCTTTGCAGATTCAACTATCAATTCAGCTTTTTGACACGTTCTTTCGAACAATGCGCATAGGTATCATGACTTTTGTGTCGTTTGTCTCTTCAGAGTTAATGATTTAGTCAGATTCTTTATTTTTTAAAAGTTTATTATAAGTTTTATATTGTGGGGATTTATTCAACGCTTCTTCATCACTTGTACATAATAATCATCACATGGTGTTCTTCATCTTCATCGTTTGTAGGGACATTTCTTGAGTCTGTGCTGTGATTCAATTGTTACTGGTATGGCCTCGTCTTCCAGGCCTAATAAACACGTGTAAAGCACTACGTCACAAGTGGTGGAGGTTCTCCGTCCCTACTCGTCGGCTGCTTCCTCTTGGAGATATGCTCAGGCCGCCGTTTGGGGTACTTGTCTACCAACATGTCGCAGGACGCACCCTCGGGCACTTTGCTACCACTTCGGCTGCGACTGCCGCGGCTCCTCACTCTTGGTTCGTCAGCGGACTCTATCGTGAGCCCCCTCTGTTTGCTGGACTTCGCCATCAGGACGTCGATGACTGGCTACACCAGTATGACATAGTGAGTGCAGCCAACCATTCGGACGATCCACACACGCTCCGCCACGTCTCCTTCAATCTTACAGGCGTGGCAAAGACTTGGTTTTCTAACCACCCACTCGACTACCTCGACTGAACCGCTTTCAGGGAACATCTCCGACAGGTCTTCGTTACTACGACAGTTGGATCCAGCCTGGCGAGGAGGACCCTTGATGCCCGCAAACAACTCGGCGATTCGTATATCTCGTAAACCGAGGATGTTCTCTTGCTCTGTCAACGCATGAACGCCTCCATAGGCGAGACAAACAAAGTGTGTCATCTTCATAAAGGCATCGGACCTGTTGCCTTCAATGCTTTGGCCGTAAAAGATCCACCACCATCTCTGACATTGTGACTACGTGCCAGTGCCTGCATCAGCTTGAATTGATGCGGCTGCCGCCAGTTAGCCTTACTGAAGACATCACTGACAATCCTACTGCCGACTTCTTGTGGCGAGCCATATCTGCGCAGTCATAGGAGATGAACTGCAGCAGTTTGGATTTTCAGCTCATGCGTTTCCTTCTGATACCGGAGGTATCAGAACAATACCAATTTACGTGACATCGTTAAGAAGAAGTTGGTGGTTATGACTGGTGCAGCGTACACAGACGCTAATGTTCCTCGTGCCCCACGAACTTACGCGCAAATCGCCGCCGCTTCTACGGCCGTCGTTCCATCGATGCCACCGACGCCGACGTCAGCCCACCTGGCGTCTCTAGCTCCTAGTCCACGCAAGTGGCCTTACTATGCACCACCAGCGCCAGCACACCTAGCATCCATGGCTCCCAAAGCGCACAACCTACCTTATTATCCACCGTGGCGCCCGACGAGACCTATTGTAGATATCGTGGACACATCACTCGTGCCTGTCGCAGGCGTCAGAAAGACGAGCGTCGTCGGTCCGACACTCATGAACGAGACGACTTTGCCACTGGGGCCACTTTCCAGCGCCGTCCTTACGCTACACTCCACGGTCGCTCTTGCTCTTCATCAGGAACGCCCGAAAGGGCTCCTTGCTAGTATGGTGCTCGGCATCACTTACCATCCACTCTTCGTTGCTCTACGTCACCATTTCGACCAGCCTCTCAGTTCACCAGCCGTCGCACGGAAAACTATATTATGCAGCTTTAGAAAGAAAAGCTGCATTTAGCGTGGTTAGATAAATTCCTGCAAGACATCCCCATAGCATAATTTCTGTTTTGGTAGAAGGCCTAGTAGTGAAGGCAATAATAGACCCTGGTGCTGATTTTTCAGTTATTCTGCGTAATTCGTGTGCTTGTCTCTGCAAAATTACTACACCGTACGAGGACCTAAGTTGCTCGCTGCTCAAGGGGGCGCCATTCTACCTTCCACCCAGTGCACTGTTCGTGTCTACAATGATGGAATTCTGGATTACATAAAATTCGTGGTGCTTAGTTTGTGTGCGCAACAGTTCATATAAGGTCGACATTTTCTTCAACAGTGTCCGCCTCTATCTGCTGCCGGAAAGGCGTTCTCCACATGATCGATACCGCCTATTCGCTTCAAGCAGATTACGGACTACTTTGTTTTTTTTGTTGTTGTTGCAAAAGACACTGAGCTACCTCCGCGCAGTCAGCAAACTGTTACAATTATGTCTGATATTATTCCCCCTGGCAATGTGCTCGTACAAATAGACTCTGATTGCATGATGGTGTTATAGAACAAGTAATATCAAATATCACTGGCAAGTGATCACTGTTGGTGGCACACTCCAAGGCAGGCCATGAAAACAATTGATGGAAGAACTAACAAAACCTAAATCAAATGCCGAGTAAGAGCTCCACTAGTAAAGGTAGGTGTTTTAGAATTCAGGCAACTCAAGCCGTTATCTGCTGTCCCCTCCCACAATAATTTACCATATCGATAGGTTCGAAAACCCTAACAGGCATAGTGTGAGTCGAAATCTCCCACCAGAATTATATCCCTACAACGAGATGTCTGTATAACGTCCAAAAATTGTGTATCGAATACACCTGTAGAGAAGTATGCATTGATTCGTAAGAAAGGCAGGCCACCTGTCAAAGTGATGCCTGAGGCAAAAAAAAATTTCCTTTCAGATTACATAGGAATGTATGAAATTTTCGTCGTTAGACTTCAACATTATAATATTAATAAAAAATGGCAGACCTCCCCCTTTTGATGGACGGCCTACACGAAAGGTCTAAATCTATGTAATCGAAAGGACCAGTGCGTTGAAAGACAAGTTTCTTGTAATTCAATGATATCTAGATTGAATTGCGATGCTAAGAATGTTCAATCGGTTACTATTGAGTGAATTGATCTGCAAATGCAGTAAATCATATTAAGTGACCCCATGGTTTGGCTAAAATAGACTCGCTGACTCCCTTGCTTATTATACTTTCTTTTAGAGAATTGGCGTTAGATAGGCTATTCTTTTGGACATCTTGGACTTCAAGTGGCCGGATGTAGTACCTTTCTTGCTCAGAGGGGATCTTGAGTGCTTTACTGATCGGGGATCCATCTCCATCTCATCTGCTTCTGGCACGTCTTCCCTCGTAGCTTCGCTGTGACACGAACTAAGTTCAGCAGATGCACCCGCAAACTGTGCCCCCGGTGACGAGGTATCTGAGAGAGCCTCCTTTGAAAGTCATTCACCGTCCCTATTTAGAATGGGCGGGCTGAGATTTTGTGATGCGGGCAATAAGTGGGCCATCTAATTAGTGAGCATATGGGCCAATGTCTCGCAAAGACTCCCAGCTACGCGTTCCATTGCCCTTTTCATTGCCTTGTCGATTCCTTCCGCAATAGAAACAGAGAGCGGGCCTTCCATTTCTGGTATATGACGGGCTGTAACACTAGCATAATCTACATTTCGTGCTTGAGTTTCAGCTACTGCTTGCGTACAAAAATATCGCCTGTGTTCTGGTATTTCAACATTTTGCAGTTTACGACCCTTTGCAGGACAGCTTGAAAACTCTGAAGCATCAGCTTCCTGACATAACCTACACTTTTCATTTTTACTTTGATGCCATTAGAAATGGGCCCTTCTCCACATACTCTGCACCTGACAGCAGTCCTGAAACTTTGATGGTGTGGCCATATCGCCAGCGATTCACGCTTTGAAGAAGGCTAGGGGAGAAAGGTTCAACGCGGTAAACAAGGGGCCACACCCTAATTTCTGATGGCCGGACTGACCCCGCAAATGTCACTATGTCAGACTAAGTTGGTATTTTATCTTTGGCAAGAACACGTGCACACGGACAAATTAAATACCACCTGCTTGCGAAAAGAGTTCTAGAATCTCAGTTGATGTAATGTTGGCGTCGACGGTACGAACTAGACTTCTGAAGCATGTTAAATGCGGTAGAATGAAAGTACTCACTTGATTTGATGGGGTATCCGAAGAGTAAAAAATAATACCTAGTCCGAACTGCAAAAAGCACTAATAAACTAACTATTGCACTCTAGGAAACCATGAAAGTTGTATAAAACAAAATAAATACTTAATCCTTGGCGAAAACAATAAGGGCGAGACTATACGCTCTTTGCTTCGTCTTACATTCCTGCTGGCCTCTAGAACCTCTTTCTCTAGCACCTTTTTTTGCCCCATCCAATTGATTCTTTTGGATCACTATGTTAGTATTTTTTGTCGTAATAAGATAGCAACGGTGGTCTAAAGGTTATGATGGTCGGCTACTGACCGGAAGTTCTTGGGTGAAGTTTAGGGCACAGTGGCCGCATTCCGATGGAGGCGAAACAATAAGGGCTCGTTTAGGACGCCATATGGTTAACATTTACATAACTTTCCACTGAAGAGTCCCTCATAATTGTATCGTGGTTTTGAGACATAAAGGCCTCACAATTACGTTTCCACTATCTACACAGGAAACACCGTCGAATCGGCAGTTTGGCTTCGCCAGAACTGGAAGTGCCCGTGAAATTTGGATTCATGTAAGTGTTTTATTAAGGGTCTGACACGGCTCTTCTGGTATTTGTATACGTAGGTTTTGTACAATGTTTTACGCAGTTGGTCTACGGTCTCACACACGTTGGAGATGCCCTATGAACTGGCTCCGACGCATTTGGCTGAAAGCTTAGCGAAAATGTCGACGTTTAGTATGCTTCAGGATGCCACCAGGTGAGTGTTTTTATAGATTGCAGCTTTTGCTCACAACTACGGTTTTACGTCATATTATCGGACAGAAGCAATGAGACAACGTGCCATAGTTTGTTCTCTCTTTGAGCTACGGGGAACTAGAGACTTCACAGAAATGCTTGGTCGACGATATTTGCACTATAAGGAAATTTTTTGATGCCTCGTTAAGCACAAAAACTGACAGTTGTCTATGACGGTAAATGCACGAAGTGTTAAAATATTGCATTTGTGCGATATTTTAATCACACAAAGGCACATCGCATTTTGTGAAAATTTGTGACGTCTTTATGACATATTCGTGAAATCAATGTGACGTCATCAGGCGCGGGCTGAAGAATACCAATTTTTTATTGACTTTACAAAGTAAGCGTTCTTATAGGATGTAGAAAAAAGCACTCAAGGTAGTCAACGTAAGTAATCAATGTAATCTAAGATTACACTGAGCAGGCTACGCATACGTTCAGGCTGGTCGATCACTCTTAAGGCCAGCAAATTAATTTACCTGGCACCTTTTCAGGTTGGTGAGTGAAATGGACACGTATGATCAAGCTGGCATGATGTGTGGTGAGCTGACTGTAGAGGGCAACACCAGAGAGTTGTGCCTGTGGGGATACAAAATAAGGAGTCGAGGTAACTATCTCTTTGCTCATACACTGTGTAAGGCTTATTTGCTGACGTCCAACAAGCATTGCGATGCACAAGAAACATTGGTCGTTTGTTACTTCAAGTTCTTAGTTTCGTCATTCGTGAAAACTGCTGTTCCTGCTGCTATGTAAACGAAATGGTCCTTTTTAATTTATTTTTGATTAAAGGGCAATAGTTTCACTGGCACTTTTAGATGATAGAGCTTTTTAAGCGTTAAAAGTTTGACATAGATTTCAGGCTTAGTTTTTATTTCTACATGAACAGGCGGTGGTAACATAGGCGTACGTGGGGGGGAGGAGTGGACTGGCCATTCTGTAGTCGCCTCAATAGGGCGAGAAGAAAAGTCTGCCCTATGCACTGACCTAATAGAGAAGGGGGCGTCGCGGCGACCTTCGGTCCCCCTACCCCAAGAGGGGAAATCTGCGCACGTTTATGGATGGTAAATGTTTTGCTATTTCATGTCTGGCGTAAATTTAACCATGCTCTAATTTACACCAAGGCCTCATTGGGAGACGTGAATAAATGTGTATGCTTTGCAAATATCTTAATAACCAATATCGCAAGTGGTACATTGAACAAGACATTGAACAAAGATGATGTAGGCTTTCGTACAGGAAATAACCCGATTAGCATTTGCACAGTTGTCTACTTATTGTGCATTTTCGTCTGCGCCGTCAGAAATTACCGTTGTACGCTAACGAAACACACACACACACACACACACACACACACACACACACACACACACACACACACACACACACACACACACACACACACACACACACACACACACACACACACACACACATGTGATACTCCCACTTTGGCGTTGTGTGATTGCGATATTGCTATCATGTCCCTCGTGCGCTCACCCACGCTTCTTGATTTGCCAGTACCAAATGAATGACTGATATAATTGTTTGTTTTAGGGAATGCACCACAAGCGTCTTACGAAGAACAACATCAGTTGGGCTTCCTCGAGGTGAGTATGTTTGCTACCTAGAAACAGTATAGTGCCAATAAAGAAGCATGACGACACTGCGGTTCCAAAGGAAAGCATTATCTTAACCTGCTTGAAAACTCAACAGATCCTATGATCGCTACCATTGCTAGGCAGGGAATAGGTTTAAGTTTGTGTTACGGATACCTTGTACCTGAATTATACGTATTGTTAGTTTGTGTTCAGCAACGACACAAAAAGTACAAGCTGTTTCAACGGACCAATATATGTCAGTCTTGTCATCCGTTCATTATGAATACGGGAATAATAATAATAATAATAATAATAATAATAATAATAATAATAATAATAATAATAATAATAATAATAATAATAATAATAATAATAATAATAATAATAATAATAATAATAATAATAATAATAATAATAATAATAATAATAATAATAATAATAATAATAATAATAATAATAATAATAACAATAATAATAATAATATTAATAATAATAATAATAATAATAATAATAATAATGATAATAATAATAATAATAATAATAATATGGTGTTATGTCCCAAAAAACAATAATTTGAATGCAAAGGATGCCCTAGTAGAGGTATCCGGTAATTTGGACCGTGTTCTTCAACGTGCATTATCATCACACAGTAAACAGGCTTCTGCCATTTCGCTTCCATTGAAATGCGACTGCCACGGCTGCGATCAAACCTGCGACCTTTCGGTCAGCAGCCGAGCCCAGTAACCACCGATCCACCTTGGCAAGCATACATTCATTCAAAACTAAGAAACTAACACACAGGAACTGCGTATAAAGTGTGATGAAGATTCAATGCAGTAAAACTAAAATGAAGCTGCGTTGCCCTTATTACAGCGCAGAGCAATCGTTAGCTTATACCACCCAAGATTAGTCAGTGTTGGCAGTGTGCCACAAAATGTGGCAGTCCAATTTGGTGAGACATTACTGCACACCATCACAGCCGGTTGAAAGAAGGTGCCGGAGAAAGTGCCGATTGTACGCTTGTAGCCACCAAACAGCGACATTTTACGCAGGGAGCACTCCACTGTGCGAGGAAGCCAGTGGGAACGCCGATGATTCTGTAAGGTCGATATCACCAGAGCACATCGGCTGAGCGTGAGTGATCGTGGTTCAGCTGCGTGAGAGACACCGCCGTACTCTGGCTAACCAAAATTTCCATTAAGATGTATCCTTTAGCAGTATGATAAACACGAGTGGTTTCGAGAAGCAGTAATGATGAAACTTTAAGTGCTACTTTTGTGAGTGCTCTGAACAATTCACATATCTATGACACATCCTAAAGCGCAATGTCGATAATAAGAAAAAGGATAGTTTTCTTAGACTGTATGGCCAACAACCCATTCTGCTAGCATTGTAATTAGTTCCAATTAGTTCTTGAAGTACCAGTGTATCGTAAAATCCGTTCAAAAGCCTTCATTCTGGCAGATATAAATTAACGCACTGGAGGCAGCAAGCGCCCTGGAACATAGATAACGAGAAGGAACACGGAGGGAGCTCTATGTGCTCCTTTTCAGATTTTGTGTCTCAGCGTGCTTGCCGGTTCCAATATAGGACATTAGCAGCTAAATTGGACGCAGACCAATATTCACACACACGTCGACTGAAGTGAATGTCAGCGTCCTGCGTTGTCCAGAAGTCTTGCATGTACGAGCGAATGGCGTGACGTGCGACGTGACATAACTTCGGATTACTCATCTCTTGCAGAATGGGGACATGTACCATTACGTTTGCTCTACAAACTATGGAGGAGAAAATGGGTAAGCTGTAGCAGTACAGCAATGAATGTTTACTTCGTCATCTTTTGATGTGGTACGCGCAACTGCTGCTTTAAAAACAGGAAGGAGCTGCGATACTATGTAATCTTTTACACTACAAAAAATGCAGCTGTCTCGTGTAATTTTCTTAAAATTAGAAATTACGCTGCGAAGGAAGCTTTTTTGTATCTATCAATGGGTGGCCCTCGAAAATTGAACTACATATGGGAAAAATTTTAAGGTCGATTTTACTGGTAGAGGTAAAGTCTCTAGACAACAGTCTGCAGCCACGTGTATACTTGAGTTTTGCGCATCAATATTTGGGTTAAGCAAGACTGTGCCGCCTTATTTACCACAGTGTTTCATACGGGTCCTTCTACGCACCTGCGTCCATGATGCGGTCGATCGAGTGCAGCCATGTAGAGATGGACGTAGCCTGGCTCACCGAGCGCAGCAGGCTGAATATAAGAAGCGGTGAGTTTTCCCGCTCAGTTTTCGGTGGGGAGATTTTATCGAGAAGGATTTTAGAAAGGTTTTACGGTTACAAGGCAATCATGCAATATCACATGAACTTGAAGAGACTACCCAACACTGCACAAGAACCTCAAAGCCACGAGTTCTGTGCAGTTGCGTACGCTTCAGGCAGACAAATATATTAACATTCACTAATTTACACGTACTACTCCACAGCATACAAAGACATATGCCTGGCTCACACTTAAGAAGAAGAAGGAGATAATACCAGGTTTAGGTGGGAGGCAGAGCTGCCCAGCCCAGCCCTCGGGTACCAACTGAGGCCAGCCAGGAGGCAAGAGCCAACGGTGCCTCGAAATTGGGGCATGACCACGAGGAGTTGCCCAGCCCTGCCCTCGGGTACCAGCTGAGGGCAGGTAGGAGGCAAGAGCCAATGGTGCCCCGGAATAGGGGCGCCACCACGCAGCGTTGCCCAGCCCTGCCCTCAGATACCAGCTGAGGTCAGGCAGGAAGGAAGTGACAACAGTGCCTCACAAAAGGGGCGTGACCACGCAGCGTTGCCCAGCCTTGCCCTCAGGTACCAGCTGAGGTCAGGCAGGAAGGAAGTGACAACAGTGCCTCACAAAAGGGGCGCGACCACGCAGCCTTGCCCAGCCTTGCCCTCAGGTACCAGCTGAGGTAAGGCAGGAAGGAAGTGACAACAGTGCCTCACAAAAGGGGCGCGACCACGCAGCGTTGCCCTGTTATTGCGGCAACGCTGTGATTTGCATCGATAAAGTTTTGTTCTGCTTTTACGGTAACTTCTGTCGGAGTTGTCTAGGTGATGCGTGAGCTCAGAAATCTGTTTTAGCTTGTGGCTACACTGAGCTTTCTAGTTCACTTAGGTTACTGGTTTTCCTAGAACGTTGTTCTCAGGAAGCACTGATATGACGTCATTCACGTTCGTTGTAGCATTTTCTAGTGTCTCTGCAACATCTGTATGGCACCCTCCCCCCACAGCCACCAAAAAACATAATGTGTAAACGAATATTCGGAAGTGCAAAAATTATCCCGCCGCGGTGGTCCAGTGGCTATGGTACTCGGCTGCTGACCCACAGATTGTATGATCGAATCCCGGCTGCGGCAGCTGCATTTTCGATGGAGGCGAAAGTGCTGTAGGCCCATGTGCTCAGATTTGTGTGCATGTTAAAGAACCCCAGGTGGTCGAAATTTCCCGAGCCCTCCACTACGGTGTCTCTCTTAATCATATGGTGGTTTTGGGACGGTAGAACTGAGATATCAATCAAATGCTAAAATTTACTAGTGTGTGCAATTATGCATACAGGTTCGAAATTTTGTCTTGAGAATGTCTTTGTCAGAAATTTAATGAACCCTTCATAGAAGTTATTGATATTTTGTATTCGTTTCGCACTGCTGGTGCAACGTATTCACGCTGTTCAAATACATTTATATTTTATTGAAACAGTAATCATATGGGCACCGTGCACTGGTTTTCGCTGTCACCGTCATGTCTCGAATAGGAAATATATGTAACAAAAATGGTGCAAAGGAAAACAAATCAGACCAAAACCATAAAACCTGCTTGACTAGGGATTCGAACCAGTGACCTCTTGCTTTGCTGCACGCTCTGTTACAGAAATCAGCCATACTTTTCTTTCTTTTAAGAGCCACAAGAAAATCAGGCGCCGGCGTATTAACGTGAAGTGAAATGAACTTTATTTGGTCCTGAAAAACTGCTCAGACACCCCCCTAAAAGGGGTCTGCCGCAGTTGCTGGCCACGTCGACGCCGAGTCTAGAATACCATGGCCCTCCGCTTTTTCGCAGGCCTCTTGGACTGCCGAGTGTTGCACAGGGAGCTCAGAGTTTTTAACGGCCCTTTCCAGTCTTCTTCTGTGATGAAATTTGCGCCATGTAACGCCGGACACTGCCAGAGCATGGGAGCGGGTGCGCAGTTATGTGCCTCACAACTAGGGCATCCTGGACTTATGCCATCAGCAAAGTGGCTGAATGTGCTACGAGACGAGAATGAACCTGTGTGTAGCATCCAAAGAATCGATGACTGTGGCCCAATGAACTTAAAATGTGGAGGCAGGTATTTTCGGCTAGACAATTGATATTGTGACGTCACTTCGTGAAAGGTGCCTAGTGGACCTTTGAAGTTATCCGCGAACCCGGCTCCGTAGCCACCCAGACCGCCACGGCACGTGATTTTTCGCTCACGATTATGGGAAAATTCGTTGGTGTTAGGAAGAGTCGCACGCACCTCTCTGCCCATGTGGACCGGAAACGGTGATATTGTGGTAGCCTACTACTCCCCTAAAATTTCAAATTGTGGCAGCCTTCCTGGAGACTATCGCTGAGGTAAAAGCCGGGATGGCAGCCCTGGAATCAGTAAGTATCTCCGGACGTGAAGGGTCAGTCATCGAAGGCTATCGTTACCTGCTGTGCTACGGAGTCAGACACTTTCCTCACGGAAGCTGAGTTGAGTACGCGACAATGATCAATGACCAGAGGCGCAAAACGATTGGAACGGCCATACTGCGCTGCACTGACGAACGCTACATTGCCCGTGGACCTAGCCACGAAATTAGGGAGAGGCTTTGCCTGTGCCTTCCACCGGCCAACATTGCACTACAGAGGAATGTTACGCGGGAAGGGTGCTACCTCATTCGTGCCCTTCTTTGTTTGTGATAAGACGATCTTCTGTTCCTCCCCTGTCATATGATGATATCCCAGTGACTGTAGGAGACGCTGCCGAATTTTCGTGGAGGAGAACCGCGTGACCTGAGCTAGTGTTTGTGCCTGGGTGAATTTTGAGAGAGTGTTGTGCATTCCCAGACTCAAGAGCCTGTCCCTGCCGGTGCTCATGGGGAGGCCTAGCATCCTTTTGATGTTTTTACGCATTAAAGTGTCGAGTTTATCCTCCTCACGTTTAAAGCAATTTAGCGAGGTCCACGTAATAATTATGGCTCACGTGGAATGCATGGCAGAGCCGACGGAAATTGCTCTCCCTGAGCCCTCCCCTGCGGCTTAAAACCCTCAATATCAGTCTGAGCTTGTTCTTCGTTTCGGAGGTGATGCGGGGCGAAACCTGCAAATTTCTGCCGTTAGAATCAAGAAGGAAGCCAAGCACCCGAATACAATTGACTCCAAGAATTGACTGCCCATCCCGTGTGGTTATCGTAATCTGCACCTGATCAAGCGGTGATTCGTGCCCTCTACCGGGTCTAACCAGCCGATTTTGATGCAACTCCAATTTAGAAGTGGATAGCTGAAGCCCTGTGCCCCGCAGAAAACTTTCTGTGATAGACAAAGTCGATTTGAGCGCCTCCTCCACTTCAGCATCCGAACCGTCCATGATCCAGACTGTAATGTCATCAGCAAGTAAGGCGTAGTTGGTAATGGATGCAGTGGATAGGTGCTCCAAGGGGCCTTTGTTGGCTATGTTGAACAAGGGGGGGTGGGTGAAATCACCGATCCCTGCGGCGTGCCTTTTGCACCCAGAGTGACGGCTTCCAATTTTAATTCACCAATTTTTCTGGTCCCTGAGGAAGGCATGGACATAGGCATAGAACTTGGGACCTAATCCCATGCGCTCTACCTCCTGCAGGTTGAACTGATGTGAAATCGTCTCAAAGGCCTTGGCGAGAACAAGGGCCAATATTTCCCGAACATCTCAGGGTGTGCCGGTCGATGATTGGCTTCTTAATCAGCAGCATCACATCCTGGGTAGAGAGACCTGGCTGGAAGCCTACCACGTTTTACGGAAAGAGCTCTTTATTCCTAGTCTACCAAGGTACTCTGTTGTATACCGCATACTCCATCACCTTCCCTTCGCACGATCTGAGGGAAAAGGGACGTAGGTTCTCCGTGGCGAGTACCTTGCCTGGCTTGGGAATGACTATTACCGAGGTGGTGCACGGTGCCTCAGGCACGTAACCTTTTGCGCAGAGGGTATTGACCTCCTCCGTTAACTTAGCGATGGACTTATCGTCGAGATTGCGCAGCAACCTGTTTGTAATGCCGTCTGGACCATGGGCTGAGCGGCTATTAAGCGCATGAAGCACGTTTTCGATCTCGAGGTTCGTAAAGGACGAGTCAATTTTCTCGAGCAGCCTTGTCTGGTAGACCGGGCAAACGCAGTCCCTAAAGGGGCCAAGTGTAAGGTATCACTCTGCCAATTCCTTAAGTGGTTTCAGTGACCACACTGCTCCGCCGTGCTTGAACTAAGCGGTCGATTGCCAACCTCTGATTACTTCTGGAGTTTGTCTGATCAAATAGTACTTTAAACAGGTTCTATTTACCTTTGGTGCGCATTTGCTTATCTACTTTTGAGCAGATCTTGTTCCACTACTGCCTAGAAAGCACCTGGCTATAATCCTCAATATCTTTATTGGAAAGAGGTATGCGTTTGCGGAACCTTCTATTTAGCTTCTGTGAACGCCTTCTCTCAACGAGTAATGTTTTAGCCTCCAATGAATGCACAAGGCACGAGTCTATTGTATCCACCTGTAAGTCAGTTTGGACAGTCTTTGTTGCGAGGAGCTCATTTTCCATGAGCCGAGAAAAGAGTTCCTCTAACATGGCACATTCAGTCTGATCAGCTTTCCGGCGCTTCCTCAACTTGTCCCAGTCCGTCACCATGTACTCTTTAGGTGGAGTCACCCGGGTTTCCTGCGTGACTGCTAGGATTAAGTAATGAATTCTGAGGCTTTCTTGCAAGTTGGTCCACTAAACCCTCCCCAAATTTCTGATGAATGCCAGAGGCAAAGTGGCGTCCCTTTAAAAGCAATTGCCCAGCCGAGTTAAGAACTGAGAGTACGTGACGAGCTCCAAGGAACAGTCCGCCATAGCTTTAACAAGGTTTCTCTCCTTGAGAGCGGCCTTTGAATAAACCCAGGCTGGATGAGGTGCGTTAAGGTCACCGATAGCTACGAGTGGTGAATTGCCTGCAAGGGTGCTGTTATGCCTGCGAGTCCACAGCGAATGTCCATGCCTC